TAAACTGAAATATTCATCTAATTAACGCCAAAAATTCTTGAGGTTCACAAGAAACAACGAAAAAGACGAACCACCCAACCAACCAACACAAACTAAAACTGGTTTCACCAGCTGAACCGAACCGGACCGGACCTCAAAAACCCATTTTTCCAATTTTTTCTTTTATGGCGAGCACATCTTGATTTTTACATGTGTCGATATTTACAGATTTATGGATTTTTTTTTTCCTCAGATGAATCTCAGCCGTTGATTGGAATCTTACATGACGGAACAAGCGTTGGGATTCTCATCGCTGAACATCTGCGGCTGATTCTGTTGCATGTGGTGAGGGAAGTGGTGGTCCATTGGAACGACGTCGTATCTATGGTCTGTGTAGCCATGGTTAGCGTAACCATAGTTGGGGGTATAGTAACTCGGGTTTGCTTCCATTGAGTAGCTATGGTGGTACTGCATCGGCGCCTCGTAGTATAGTGGTTGGTAAGGATATCCGCCGTAATACTCTAACTTGTTCATTACATCTACCGGCTTCGCATCGCCACCCTCGACGGCTGCGGGCGGTGGTGCAGGTTTCGATTCCACCGCCTCTTTTTTTTCACCACCGCCTTCCTTTTTCTCACCACCGCCTTCCTTTTCCTTTTTCTCACCACCGCCACCAGCTTCTTCCTTCTTCTCACCACCACCAGCTTCAACGGCGACGGGGACAGCAACCACGGCGGCAGGTGCAGGGGATTCTTCTTTTTTCTTTTCACCGGCGGGTTCTTCCTTCTTGGGTGGGATAATCTCCACGTTTCTTTTGAGTTTGTCTTTGAGATACGGCTCGAGTTGCTTCACATCCATTGTTCCTTTCACGGTGACCAAATCCTTGGCTCCGTCCAAAGCCACCGATTGAACCCCTGTTCAATTACAAGATACAAAACCTCAATTTAATTTGATTTGATTTGGGAATCTGTTTTAGTGAGCTAAAATTATGATATTTTAGAGCTTACCATTGATTTTCAAGATGATTTTGCGGATTTTTTGTATGCATCCTTCACAATGCAGCCGGATTTTCAAAACGACAGTGCTCTGTTTCAATGAATGAAAAACAGAGCATGAACAGTGATTGAGAGATGAATTAAGAAACAAGAGAACTAAAACATGGGTATCATGGGAGTTGTTCTTATTACGTTAATTATGAACAGTGATTGATACTCACCTCCTTGGGTTTTTCTTCAGGGGCTTTCTTCTCTTCCGGCTTCTTCTCATCGGCCTTCTTCTCCGCCGGGGCGGCGACAGCGCCGCCGTCTTTTTTCGGCTGAGGGGAAATAATCTCCACTTTCTTCTTGGTTTTAAGCTCCAATTTCTCTTTCACCGCAACGACATCCATTTTCCCAATCACAGTTAACTTATTCGCCGCACAATCCGTCTTAACACTCTCCACATCTGACTTACAAATTCAATACACACAATTAAAAAAATATAAGAATTATACAAATAAAAGGAATAATTTGGATTGAGATTCCAAAAAGCTTCCGATTCCGAAATCTAGACTTCACCTTTGACATGTCGGACAGCTCGTTTAATCTTCTTTGCACACCCTTCGCAATGCATGTCGATTTTGTATATGGCGGTGATAGCTCCGCCGTCTTCTTTCTTCGCTCCATCCTCCGCGACTGCCGGAACCGCCGCCGGAGCTGGAGCTGGAGCTGGAGCTACAGCTGCCGCCGATTTCTTCTCAACTTCATTTTTAGCTGCTGCAACTACTTCTTCCACCTTTTGCTGCAGAACCCACGAAAAGAATTCATCAGAAGAAATAAATTTTGGAATTACAATTTGAAAAATTCAAAATAAAAAATTAGACATCGAGAGAGATCGAGAGAGAGAGAGAGAGAGAATCCGACCTCTCCCATTTCTTTTTGTTTTTCTTTTCCTCTTTTGATTCGCTGATTGGGAGTAAAATGGTGGGGAGGATTTGGAATATATAGAACTGGGATTTGAATGGCAATGTATATATGTATGTATGATGGTAATGCATGGCATAATGATGATATGGTCAGGATGGAGGGGCGTTGGCCTTGCCGTCCGATTGAATGCCTTTTCTCAATCATATCGGATGTATCTGTATCCAATCAGCTGGTTTTAAGTGGATGCCACATGGGCAGGTGAAATGCCCACAATACCCCTTCCCACCATTTTTTTTTATATTATTAATTTATTTATTTTTTGAAATTTTAGATAGAAAATAAAAAAAATAACTGTAATATTGAATTACCGGTAATATCCTGTTCAAACAAGCTTTCTTTATTATCCATTCAGTTTGGTAAAAGAAAAAACGATGGGCGGTCCGGTAAATTGGGCTACATTTTGTAGAAACGGTTTTTAATATTTAACTATTTTCCTATTTAAATATTTAATTTATTTTATCTTACTTCATCTTTTCACTTTCTTTTAATTTATTTTAATCGTGCGTTGTTTTTTTATTCGCCGTTGGAATAATTTAATAACATAATAATATATTCAAACTAAATTTAAAAATATTTTTATTATTTCAATCGCTTTAACATTACTTTTCATAATTTAATCATTTAATACCATATATATATATATATATATAGTTTAAATATTAAAAAATATTTTACTTTTTCAAAAATTGTACTTTCATAAATATTTCAAATAAATCTCTGAATTTAAATCCTTTAAATTTTATAATTGAAATTAGACTTGAAACTACACAATCCAATTTTTTATTATAATATTTAACCTAATTTTTATTTAAAATTTTAAATAATTTGAGTATATATATATATATATATATATATATATATATATATATTTATAAAAGTAATTGTGTTTGGAAGAAGGTCGATTTCCATGCCATTTTTGAGATAATGCTATTTTTTTGTTAATATACGTAGGAGAAACGTCTCGTTTTTGCTCTCTCTATTTTAGTTCTCTTTTTGCTTTATAAGATATTTTTATAAATTTTGACATATTTTATTTTTCGTGCTAAACGTGATGTGTGATGATTTACTACTTATGTGGGCATGAATTTAAAAGATTAAGATCCGTTTAATATTTTAACCAAATTGATACATGAATATATATTAATTATAATTTAATGTTTGAGTAAAAAGTTAAAATAGATATTTTAAAATTGAAACCATTAATTCTCCTAATAAAGAGGGAGGCAATGAATTTGAACATTCTAGATTCTGTGGCTGCGACGGCAGCGGAGGGGGCGGTCCTGAAAAAGAAATGTATTTTATGGGACAAAGGCAAAGGCGCGAATTGAGATGGCGTTTATCAGGGGAGGGAAGCGGTGGTTCATGTTGAGGAGTGAATGAGGATAACGTGTCAACATCTGAATGAGCTGTGACGAAACGTAGCCCACTAGCGGAGTGAGTTTGACAACCATTCTTCAATTTTTGTCCTGTCTTCGGGTCGGGTGGGGGACCGGGCTCATTATTGTTTGGACAAAGTTTGGAACCTTATTACTATTTCAATTTTATTTTATTTTATTTTATTTATTAATTTCCTTCCACCACAAAACTCCTATCAAAATCCAACCAAATTTAAAAAATATGTAGCAATAAAAAAAAATTAAATAGTTATCTAATAAAATCTTAAATAAACGAGTATTTTTACAAACTCTAAATTAAATTACCTTATATAATTTATAAATACATTAGATTAAAAAACATTGATGTAGAGATTAATAATTTGTTTAATATATATATATATATATATATATATTAGAACTTTATTGTTCAATCACGCTATTGCTGTTATGTAGGACAAAGTTAGACATGTGAACTATGTACTTGAAAGATGGTACAAGTCGAGCGGTGGAAAAAGGTAAACAAAAAGATTTTGTTTTTTTACGTTTGGTTGGTATGGTAAACTTATAAATATTATTCCTATCGTTCAAATTTTAAAAAGCAAAGAATAAAAATAAAAATAAAAAATTTTTAATTTTTCATAATAATCTTTAAAATAAGTTAGGATTAGGTTGGACGGTAATTTTACATGTTAGAAGTCGACCAACAAAAAAAAAATAATCATGAAAAAAATTAAAATATGTATATTTAAACCTTACCTCTCTAAATAAGTTATTTTTAAAAATATTTTATGGATATTTATATGAGATATAAAAATATGAACGAATATTTTAATGATTGAAGGCTAATAAAATAAAAATTGATGAGTAGGCAAAGTAAAAAAAAAGTAAAAATTACCCATGGTAAAAAGCTGATGGAATAAGATATTTTTAATCACTACATTTTGTTACCCCTTTGTATTCACCTAACAATCCACTTTTCAATTAATCAAATGATTACTTGATTGGTTGTATCATGATTTGAAACAAATAATTAAATAATTTCAAATAAAGCGACACATTATTATTATTCTTAGTGTAAAAATTTCGAGGATTAAAATTTGAAAATGTCAACCTGTTAAAATAAAAAAATAAATGTTTTGAAATTTTAGAATTTAGAATTAATATTTTAAAATTTTCATTTTAGGCTATAAATTTATAAATTTATAAATTTATAATTTAATACATACATCCAAACTAAACAACGTGGGCTTACTAACAAAACCATAGCCCACGGGCTTGTGATACCAAAGAAAGCCCAAGCCCAAATCCAAGCCGAGAGCTGTTTCAGTAGTTAACTGACTCCTTTCCAATGAAATTAAAAAAAAAAAAAAATTGGTATTCCATTCCACGTGTTTGTCAAATGTTCAATCAAGTAATGAAATTGTGTGAATCTAAATAAGGAAAAATTCAGTTTTTATCTAACAATCTTCTCTTAAAACCTGTGGTATATCTATCTTATTTTGTTTGAACTCCGATTTGAGTCCTATGACTCGGTGTCCCTTGCTACATGTCCTCCAGACTCCACGTCTTGTTCGACCACCTCTTCTTCGAGTTGGCACGCCGCTAGTCTAGGTGGTTCACCTCTTCCTAATAGGTCTTCCATCCTTCAGTACCTGGCCGAGAGGTTGACTGGTTGCTCTATCTACAACTCTAGGATGTAAAGGCGGTTTGCCGTGCACCAAACTTGCGTGAGCAACTGTCGTCGATCATCGCGGATCCTAAGTAGCTCGCGCTTGATGGAAATGTGGCAGCCGACCTTATCGAGTTGACCTAAGCTCACAATATTAGCCTTGAGCCTCGGGATGAAGTAGGCGCCGGTCAGCTTGTGATGCTTGCCTCCCTTGTGGACGAACAAGATGGTGTCGTGCCCTTCGATCTCGACGACAGAGCCGTCGCCGAATTTCACCGTCCCCCGAATCCCCGAGTCAAGCTCAGAGAACACAGACTTGGCCCCGGTCATATGGTTTGTTGCCCCCGTGTCGAGGACCCATCGCCGGTGCTCTTGCTGCTCGCCTCTTTCATCGATGTGAGCGAACACTCGCTCCTCCTTCAGTTGAATTGGCTCCCCAGTCGGTGCCTTTGTTATACACAATTAGAGCTCTTCCTCGGGTTCGACACTCACCGGAGCAGTTATGTCGTCGTCGATTACCTCTGTGGATTTCGGGAGCCCTTCCTCACCTCCTCGGATTAAGCCACATGAGCCTTCTCGGTCGTCTCCTTGTTTCTAAGCTTGCTCCAGCAGTTCTTGCTCAGGTGACCTCTCTTCCCACAGTACGAGCACTGGATTGGCCTGTCATTAGTCGACTCCTTCTTTTGATCCGCCTCTTTCCCGCGCATGCGCCCGCGAGATTTCTTCTTACCGCCTCTACGGCTGGAGGGCCCATTGCTCTCACCAGGGTCGTCTACTCCTCACTGATGTTGCCTCCTTGTCAACAGCTGAAGCAACATTTTTCTTCCACTGCTCGACGTTACGCAGTCTTCTGGTCACCTCTTCCACCGTTAAGTCGTTAACATCGAGCAATGTCTCAATTGAAATCGCGACTTGCTCGAGATGATCGGGGACGCCATTCCTCCTCAATGAGGAGTAGATGACCCTCCTTGTCGACAGCTGAAGCGGTATTTTTCTTCCGCTGCTCGACGTTACGCAGTCTTCCGGTCACCTCTTCCACCGTTAAATCGTTCACGTCGAGCAATGTCTCAATTGAAATCGCGACTTGCTCGAGATGATCGGGGACGACCTGCAACATCTTCTTCACAATTTCTGTCTCGCTGATGCTGCCACCGAGAGTGGTGATGCTGTTGGCGAGCCCCGTGATTCGCATTGAAAAATCATCGACAGATTCGCCGTCCTTAAAGCGGATCTTCGAGAGCTCCTTCCGCAGCTGCTAGATGTTGGATTCCCGCGCTCGCTGTACACCGACCCGACGGGATTTAATTCCCTCCCAGGCCGATTGCACGGTGCGTTTGGTGGAGAGATACGCTAGCATCTCTGGGGGCACAGACCGTAATACGACGGCGAACGCCAGCCGATCCTCCCTGTACTCGATCGTTTCTCCATCCTCCGGCTCGACAGAGTGCCATAACCCTTGCGCCTGTAGGTTGACGCCCATCAACAAGGCTCACTCGTTGTAGTTAGACCTTGTCAACATTGGGTACTGAGCGATGGCGGTCGTTGTCTCCCTGATCACTCGCTCAACGACAACTCGACGCTCGTCATCATGGCGTCGGCCTCTTCGTGGCGGTGATGGAGATGTCGACACTTGGCGGCGGAGTGGAGGAGTGAGTGAGCCTCTCCGAAATGGTATACCACCGATGGCTTCAACTTAACTCTGATACCACTTGTTGTTTTTCGATAATCAGTCCTTTTATTTTCGGTGAGAGAAAATCGTTGACGGAAAGTTGTTGGAAGAAAATAAAAGGCGTCAAATAGCAAAGAGAGAGAATTGATGAATGCTTAAAATCAGGTGTATCAAATCTTCTGAACACATTTACCTTTTTAAATATAACTTATTGGCCGTAGAGTGACCAACTAAACTTGTGGCACTCCCTACAAAATTGTCATCTAAAATTTAGTATTTCATTCGGTGTTTGTCAAATGGTGAAAAAGAGATATTCAATCAATTAATGAAATCGCGTGTTTGTCAAATGGTAAAATAGAGATATTTAATCAATTAATGAAATCATATGGATCTAAAAAGAAAAACTAAGGTTTTATCTTAGAGAGGAGGCAGCGCCATTAAAAGCCAATTGGTGAACAATCAAGTTTGATCGGAGATTTGACTGGTTTTTTTATTTTGGCCCAAAAACTAGAAGTGATCCTCTTCTTCCCAGATCAAGAAGGTAAGCCGTCGTCATCATATTCCATTTTCTGTGTTTATGTCTGATCATCTTTCGTTTCTTTCATTCCTCTCTGATTAATCGATTCCTTCCGGTAACTATCTTGTCTTGCATGCACGACGTTGCTGTACCATGCCAAATTTATAATTATTCTGTTTCCACGTGAATTTCTCTTTACGAGTATGGGACAAATGGTGTGCTTATTGCTTGTCTTGCGTTGAAGTTGTTTTCATCTTTTTGAATGCATATGAGGCGTTTGTTAAAATGTTTGATTCTCATGGTTTGAAAAGATCTTGGGTTTCTGCTATGCACTAGATTCTCGTTGAATGGTTTCTGGTGATTTTTTTTTTGCGAGTAGAAGGCCTATATAAGAAGGGGGAGAAAAGTTTAAGAAGATAATACACTTAATATACTTACTGGATAGAAAATGCCAGACAAATCCCAAAAGAATAGTAAGGGTATAAGGGATTTTGTTTTTCCTTTTTCTTTCTTGTCAATTGCTATGGTTCCATTTCCTAGCTCTCTCTGTCCTCATCCTCTCTAGTTTTTGCTGAGGAAGTTGAACCTGAAGTCATGCCAATGACTTGGCTGTGTGTGAATCTTTGTAATTGTACCATCCGGGCGTAACACCCATCAGGATAATTTTTCAACAAATGTGAGTGCGATCCCTGCTCTGAAACTTTACCATCATCAATTACTGCAATGACATGGGCATTCCTGATAGTTGATAGTCGATGAGCAACTACAATTGTTGTTTTTCCTGAACAAGCTCGGTCGAGCGCCTCCTGGACGGACCGCTCAGACTCAGCATCAAGTGCACTTGTTGCCTCATCTAGTAGCATAAGCTCTGCCTTCCTGACCAGAGCACGAGCAATTGCAATTCTTTGTTTCTGTCCACCCGATAGTTGAACTCCCCTCTCGCCAACAAAAGTTTGATATCCTTCTGGCAATGCAGATATGAACTTGTGGGCATTTGCCAAAGTAGCGGCTTCAATGATCTCAGCTTCAGAGGCTGATTCGTGGCCATAAGCTATATTATCATATATGGAAGCAGCAAATAAGCATGGCTCCTGAGGGACCATGGCAATGTGCTTTCTCAAAGACTTGAGGTTGAACTTACGAATATCCTTTCCATCAATCATAACTCGTCCTGAAGTTGGCTCATAGAATCTTTGGACTAGTGCAATAACAGAGCTCTTGCCACACCCGCTTGGGCCAACAAGAGCAAGAGTCTTACCTGCTCGGGCACGCAAACTAAGATCTCTAAAGACAGGGATATCAGGGCGAGTTGGGTAGGAAAAGTCAACATGTTTAAATTCAACTTCTCCACGAAGTTTATCTGGGACTGGAGTGGCATCTGGATCATCGGGTTCAATTTCAGTTTTGCGGTCAAGAAGTGCAAAGACGGATCGCATGGCTCGACCACCCTTAATAAAGTCAGGAGCTAGAGTGAGTGTTTCAGCTGCGCCATTTGCAGAAACCATAAGGACCATGAAAACACGGATTGCCTTCGAAAAATCAGAGAGCCCATGCTTTACAAGCCATGAGGCATACCAAAGACCAAGAGCATAGGAAGCGTAAAGAGAGAACTGAGCAACGCCAAAGCCGCTGCCAGCAATCTGTCCCTTCCAAAAGCAGCGGCGTAGTGGGATCTCGAGGTTGGTTGAGAAAAGTCTGACAATCTTTTCCTCAGAATTGAATGCAGCAACTGTCCTTACATTGGCTATGGCTTCCCCTGCTAGTTGTGTGGCCTTGGCATGGTTAGCCTCAAGGTCTCCTGAAAAACCAGTCATGAACATTTTCTGTAGAACAGTGGCCGCAACGACCACGGGGAAGACGGCTACAAGGACAAGAGATAGGCGCCACTGCAAAACGAACCCAGCTGTGCATGCAACTAGCATGAGTGACGTGTTCTGTACAATCACAGAAATCCTGTCTCCAATAGCTGATCTAACGTTGTTAGCATCAAGGGCCAGCCTAGCAGCAATTTTTGCACTTTCATTTTCTTCCTGATCAAACCATGCCATTTCATTTTTCAGTACTGCTGTCAGCATCTTTTCTCTTACACGTTTGGTGAGGTTCTCTCCCACAATATCCCAGAAGAAATGCTGTATTGTATTGAAGAGAAGAGCAGCTGACGAAAGTCCGATTAATAAGTAGCAGTACTTAATAATTTCTCTGCTCATGAAAGCATGGTCTGGGTTGTAGTAGACACTGAGAACAGCACTTAGAACATATGCAAAGAAGGCGCTTAGAAACCCACAGACAACAGAACCAACAGAACCAAGTAATGCATAAAGCCATTCGGGTGAATTCATTTTCACAAGACGCCAGAAGGAACTGGCTTGCTCCTTAAAGGCCAGTTTTTCAAGCCTGTAATTGGGAAGTGAAGAATCCAGAGAAAGACTAAAATCAGATGTGGAAAAGTCAGATAACCGACGTGAATAAGGCGATCGTCCATAGGAAGAATTCCGTGCAATGATTGGGGAACTCACTGAGTTCCTGGCACTTGAAGCCCTAAAAAATCATAGTCCATGCTAGTTAGACAAGTTATTGAGAGAAGATTCAAAAAGGAGAAATCGAATATATTTTTATAGCTACCTTGCACTACTCTTTCTGGCATTATTGAGAGCAGTTTCATGTGCCATCTCCTGCATCCGGATAAGCTTGGCGTATACACCATTCTCTCCTTTGGCAATGAGCTCGTCATGTGTTCCAATTTCAGAAACACTTCCCTGTTGGATTACAGCCACAAGGTCAGCCTTACGAATGGTAGAGAGCCGATGGGCAATAAGAAGAGTTGTCCGCCCGATCATAAAACGATCAAGAGCCTCCTGTACAAGCTTTTCTGACTCAGAATCCAATGCACTAGTAGCCTCGTCTAAGAGTAGGATCGCAGGGTTTTTCAGCATTGCCCTTGCTATTGCAATCCTCTGCTTCTGCCCTCCAGAAAGCTGCAGTCCTCTTTCCCCTACCTACCAACCATAAACTTTCTACTTCAAACCTCAGGATTCTGATTCATAATGATTCATTCTTCTATCAAAACTAGATTAGACGTTCAGTATCTTATACGAGTAAAGTTGTTTCGAAGCGTCTTTTTCCACCACATGATGCAGAATAATTCTCTAGTCATTCTATCAACAGGTGAGCAAATAGTGATTTTTTAGTATCTTTGATAATACGGTAAATGTAAAGCATAGATACGTAGATTCGGGTCAAGAGCTTGTGCAAGTTGCAGGTAACAAATAATCTAAAAGTTCTCTGTGTTAGCTCGCAGTTACAAATTAGATTAAGAACATTTCTGTTTTTTATCAGAGTTTTATTATAATAATCCACACAAGTTTTGTGGCTCAAGAAATCATTAACCCCTCTGATTCCTACTCTTTCAATATCTTTGAAACCCATCATCTTCATGTCATCATTATTTCTTGTATAGCATGCTAATGTCAATAGCACCTTTTTCCTTGGAATGTTGAAGATCAATAACAGAAAACTATATATAAATGTATAAATAATTTTACATAGATGTCAGCATCGACTATTTTCTATTCCATCTGCATACCCATATGCTTGATATGTCCCTCCCTTTAGTTTATTTGGTTCTCGTTTGTCAGAGCAGACAAGTTAAAAACCTATTTATTTCTGCACATGCATTGTTGACCAAGCATGTTATCCTGTTTCCATGGTTTGTAGGACCAAAACATTTCTCCTCACTTGCACCAAAAAAGAGTCGGTTTAACCTTGTTAAAAGCAATAAAATGTTCCATTTTGCTATTCAAAATAGGTATAAGAAAGATTATATGTAAATTATCACACATATATCTTAGTTAGATCAATATATATATATAGACCTTTACCCTTCAGAAAAATAGAATCAAGTTTCTTTTGCTCCATTATCAGTAACATTTGTCATTGTAAGCCAATGGAAGGTGATTAAGAGTGTCATGTTTTAACACATGGTTTTGAGATGATATCTAACCTGGGTGTCATAGCCTTCAGGAAGTTTGATAATGAATGAATGAGCATTGGCGACTCGAGCAGCTTCCTCCACCTCAACTTGGTCTGCATCAGGTCTGCCCAAGAGAATATTCTCCTTGATGGTGGTGGCAAAAAGTGCAGGTTCTTGGCTCACCAGTCCTATCTGTTGCCTTAACCATCTCAGCTTCAAAGTTTTTATGTCACGCCCATCTAGTAAAACTTCTCCTGCACATTCAGTCCAGAAGGAACTTTTCAAGTCCGGAAACGTAAATTTCAAGAATGACTGCAAACCAAAACCAATGCGTTAATCATTTTAAAAGTGGAAACAGATCGTGACATTCACCTGAAATGGGGTCATAGAATCTTTCAATTAGGGAGATGACGGTGCTCTTGCCCGAGCCGCTGCTACCGACCAGAGCTATAGTTTTTCCGGCAGGGACAGTTAGAGAGAAGTTGTTCAGGATTCTTACATCTGGCCTTGATGGGTATGAGAAATCCACATTCTTCAGTTCAACCAGTCCTGAAACTGACTCTAATTCCAAACCAGATTCGTTGTTGCTGTTTAGAGTGGGCTTGTGATCGATTATACGATAGATTTTGGCAGCTGCAACTCTAGCCTTTGCGAACGAACTCATGCTCGGAGCAGATTGTCCCAATGCCCTGTCAAAGCAAAGCGATCATTCAGCCAAAAATTGGAGGTTTCAAGATGAAACCCGAGATGGTGGTGGCTACTTACAGTCCGCCAATCATCACGGCAAACATAGTGGCTATGGCCAGACCGCCATTGGTGGCGTGGTGTCTGACGAGATAACCTCCGTACCAGAGCAGAAGAGCGTAACAGCAGAAAACAACAAAATAAGTGGCGCCCAATCCCATACCCTTGGAGAATCCAGTCTTGTAACCTATCTTTTGAGAAATCTTCAACGCGGAGGAGTATCTCTGCAACGCTCTTGATTCGCCCACGAACTCCAAAACAACTCGGATTTGAACTATTGTCTGTATGTTACGTCAAGAGTTGACGGTACCCAAATGAGTGAAGATGCAAAAATCTTTAGAAAACCACCAAGTGCTGCAAAGTATGCCCCTTACCTGTTCGACGATATTTCCAGCCTCTGAAAGAGCTTCCTGGGACTTGGCAGAGAGCTTGGCTATTGTGGTGGTGTAGATGCCGCCGATTACGGCAATCAAAGGAACCACCGCAAGAGTTACCAACGCCAATTGCCACACAGCAGTGAAACCCACAACGAATCCGGACACAAATGTTGCCATATAGTGTATGAAGTTGCCCAGCTGCAAAGTCCATTCATTTACATCAATTAGGCGGGTAAAAGGGGGTTTTTCAAACAGAGAGATTACTGAAAACAGGGCTGGTTTCTTTACCTTCTCACTAATGGCGTCTTGGACCATCACTGCATCAGTGTTGATGGCGAAAATGACGTCAGATGTTCGCACCTCTGTATCAAAATACTGAATGTCTTGGTCCAGTGCGGCTTCTAGGTACTTGATCCTCATCTTTGTGGACTGCCGCTCGCCGGTCCACATCCAACACGAAATCTCTGCAACCGGTTTCACTTAGAATCACATATGAATGGGAATGAAAACCCCAGAGAAGCTAATGGAAATTCTGAGTACCTGCCCAGGATGACGCCCATATCGCAGCTCCAACCACGAGGAAGTAAAATGCGTACTGAAAATAGAAAGGTTTCAGTTTCTCAGCTTTTGTTTAGATTATTATCAACATAAACACTTGGATTGTGTTTTGAGTTACAGTTCTACTTTACCTTCAAAACCTCCTGCATCATTTTATCCACATCATTGGCGTAAGACCCAAAAGAGTTAACAAGATCAGCGAAGAAACGGAGAAACAGAGGCAAAGAACAACCGTGGACAAGGGCTCCGACCGACCCAATTGCCATCAAAACGTAATCCAACCCATCGGCGAATCTGAAAAGCTCCCCAAACCCAACGGAAGTGACGGCTTCAGGTTTCTCCCCACTGGTGCCACCGCCGTTTTCCTTCTTGGAATCAGTTGAAGATTCCATTTCTCCGTTTGTGGGTCTGCCAATTCCGTGTTCAGCCTCCTCCTCTTTGGGGCTGAGGTCTTCGGGGTCTGTGTGTTTCGGTGTTGGGGGTGATGGTTTAGGAGGAAGAGGATCAGAAGAGAGGAGCTCAAGGCCTTGCATTTCGGACCATTTCCACTTCTCAGTCGTCTTTATCTCCTCAGACTGTTGTGACATTGGCGAAATTCCTGGGTTTATGAACAAAATCTCCCCCTTCTTTACCTCATAATAACTTCTTCTCTTTACTTTTGCTGCTACATTTGGTGGTGATTTTTTTTTTTTTTTTTTGTTCTTCTCCTCTTTTAACTCTCTCAGTTGTGTTGGCTCTAGTTCTTGCTGTTCTTATTGAATGGAAGTGTCGTGAAAGAGAGAGGCAAATAGTGGCTGTGGCTGTGGCTGTGGGCGTTTTTACAGTCAGATTGGGTTTCCAATTGTTCCCACTTTGCTTGTTCCGTAAAAAACACAGAAAGTGACGCATGTTAGAGGAGGGAGTCCCGGAGTGAGAAAGAAAAAAGAAAAAAGAAAAGGATTTATTATTATTATTATTCTGATTTGTTTTAGCAGAACATATTCAAAGTAGGAAAATACCCCACCATCCCTTTAATTTAATCCCAATACCAAAAATCATTGCTTTAGTCATTGTCGTCTCAAAACCTTATAATTGTTCTTGTTTTGTAATTTACTTATATTCTCACTGATTTCCATATCTCATTTATCATTTGTTTTCAGCCTAATCTAATCATATCATCAACTTGGAAAAAGGTCCTTATGAACTGAACAAACCACAACGGACGGGCGGCCCAGGTACAATTTCTTTTCAATAAAATGCAAATTTGGATTTCAACGGTCATAAATGAAAACTTTTTAAACTATGAAGTTGGGGGTTTGGAAAACGAATAGAATGCGAAGGGTGTGAAACGTTGAAAAAAATATAGGACATAAATTACCTAACCCCTGTTGTCTCCTTGGAATAATGAAGAAATTGGATGATTTTAGAATCCCTATATATTTAATCCAAAGTCATCCATAAAACATGGTAAAAAATGAAAGACTAAAATAATAGTAATAATAAAGAACAATAAGAGCACAAGGCTTCCAGTGTTTGAATATTTATTTTTGCAGGTTTGAAGGTTGACTGCAGAAAAACCGAAGCTTAGTTTGAAAATCTGATGCCGTATACACATTGACTATGTTATTTTTGTCAGAAGAAGAAGAAGAAATAAAAGGTTCCCTTCTTATCCTCTATGTCTTGTCTGTTTGAATGCCTTATTATTAAAGTATTGTCTTGGGAAAGGAGGTCTCATTATTCATAACTGAACCTTATACTCAAATCAAAAACTCTCGTGATATAGTTGAAATCTGTTTGCAATTACGGATCTCCATAATGTTATGATATTGTACATTTTGAACATAAACTCTTGGTTTCTCCCTGTAACTTTGCTTTTGGTTTCTCTCTGTAATAGCTCAAGCCTTCGATAACATATATTGTCCTTTTTAGGTTTTTGACTTCCCTCGTAGTTTTAAAATGCGTCTATTAGGGAAAGATTTCTACCCCTTATAAAAAGGAAGGTTTTGGTCCCACACTCTTAAATATCAATGAAGATACTGTTATTTACTTATAAACTCATAATCCTTCTCTTGTCTCACTCCCAAAAAGTAGGTGGAAGATTGTTTGGGAGTGAATAGCAATAAAAGGTAGGTGAGTTTTTTTTTGTTTGGGGGAAAACTATGGCCATAAACTAAACTGGTAGCCAATCAAGTATCCACTACGGGTAATTATACTACATCTGAAATGATAACACATTGATAAGAATCTAGAACAGAGTTATAGAGGGAAGGGGTTATTAAATTCCGAAATCTGGGGTTTTGAAGCCTAAAGTTGGAGGAATTTATGAAACTAAACAGCTTTTCCACCACAGAGAGAGAGAGAGAGGGGGAGATCCAAGGCATGTGGGTATACGGGAAAGAATAACAGACTTAAAAGCTTTTAAAAATAAAGAGAAAAAGAAAGTTCAAAAGTGAAAGGATTCGAGGGAAATGTCAGAAAACTGGAAAAACATTAATAAAAAAGAAGTAAAGCGTAATGACAGGGAATTGTTGGATTTGTTTATGAATTCAAACAAGGCAAGCAACCCTCTTAATTCTCTTGCTGTGTTTGGGTTGTGAAGAGAAACAGAAGTGATGATCAATCAGAGTTGTACGGTCACGATGATGCCAACCACTCACTTTTTGTTCAATAACAGAGATGAGAGATGAGGAGGGAGGTGGAGATTCCTGGGCAAAAAGGTGAAAATTAAAAGAGAATGTTAAGTGTGGGCGTTAATTTCTCAGTTGGCGTGAAACAGTGACTTTTTTTTTGGTTTAGAGTTTAGGTTTATAACCCTTTTATCTATTCAAATCACGACCCACCTTACAAATTTTCAGCTCAATCAACTTAGTTCTCACCAAGTTGGTTGTTGAATATAGAAGAATGGTGCAGTTGTAGGGCATTTTTTAAGGCAGGTGACAACCAGGGGGAACAAATAATATGGTTACGCATATATTTTTAGGTCCCTCAAACGGGATTATTGTATGTATGAAAAAATAAAGTTTTATGGTCTCGTGTTAGATGAACACAACTCTCTACAATGGTATGATATTGTCCACTTTGAGCATAAGTTTTCATGGCTATGCTTTGAGCTTTCCTAGAATGCCTCGTACCAATGGAGAGAGTATTCCTTGATTATAAACTCATGATCATTCCCTAAATGGATGTGAGGCTTTCATCATCCAACACCTCCCCTCGAACAAAGTACGTCTCCCCTTAATTCTTTTGGAGTTTTTACTACGCCTTCAAGGAGGGTTGACTCCTTTTCTCTTGGAGTCATTTGGTCGGGCTTTGCTTTGGGTTTCTCCAAAAGGTCTCATACGAATGGAGAGAGCATTCTTTGATTATAAACTCATGATCATTCCCTAAATTAGTCGATGTGGGACTTTCCTCATCCAACATCCCGTGCTGTACCANNNNCCCCCCCCCCCCCCTTCTATCTCATTCACATAACAAATAGGTCAAAATTGTGTCTTCCCTTTGAGTTATACAGTGTGGCTTGGTTCCATTTGAAGTCTCAAAGTTCCCTTGGCTTTAAGGGCTCTCTCTCAGTGGCATGGCATGTGCATTACAGATTGGAATCATTTTAAACAATCTTAATCTCTACTAAGGATACATAACCTTCATTATTCGTTTATGAAAAAGGGTTTCTTTTGGTGACTTTCAGACATGATTTCAGGAATTCAGTAACTTAGGTTACACTCTTTCATGCTTAATTACACTGGAGCCATGAATGAGAAATTAGAGACCAAACTCTTTTCGGGTTTTATGATTCCTTTCAAAATTTAGTACCCTACAGTTAGCATATATTGTGTTTTTTAGGTCTTTCTAGCCTATCCACATTCTTATAAGGAATATTTTATTTCTCTTTCTAACGGATAGACGTGGGAGGTTGAATCTGAAATTAATATTAAAAATTGATTCTTCTTTTTTTGTGTCATATTTCAATATAATACAAAGAAGGGTGAGATGGCAAATGCCCCAAAGCATAACCTCATTATTACCAACTCATTATGATCAATTTGTCAGCACTCAGAAACTTTTTTTTTTATTTTTTATTTTTTATTTTTTATAAATATATTTTCAAACCCTCATTTATTTATTTTTCTTTTCATTCAATAATTTGTTGGCTTGTCCTTTTCTTGTTTTCAAAAAAGCCCCTAAAATCCCATATAATTTCTTTTATTAACCCCTTAGCTAGCTAGCTAGCTCTTGTGGTGGAAATCCTACCAAAAAGATTTTTTTTTTTTTTTTTTTTTATCTCTTTATAATTTTTTTTTTAAAAAAACTATCTTATTATTATTTTTATATAAAGAGAAATATTTCCACACACAAACTGATAAGAGGGGAAAAATTAAAAGTTTCTCGTCTTAGTTGGTTTCCACAATCTTCTCTTTTTGGATATATATTTTTTTTTTTAATTATTGCAAAAATTTAGTTAATAAAAAGCATTATTAATAAGCAAGAACAGTGTGTAAGGCACATGCATTATGCATCTTAGTCTACCTTTTCAAGTCTTTATTTATGGACCTAAGTGGATGTCATTTTAAGCTTACACTTTGGAAACCCTTATATGCATATACCACTCACTCCATTCTTCTTATTCTATTGACATAGTTTCAACCAAAATAATTCGCATAATGCTCTCACCTTCCTCAACAAATTCATCATTATTTATATTCGAATTCCATAAAGACTATACCTTTATTTATGGGTTTCAGTTCTTTTCTAAAACCGTTTTGAACTAGTTATAACCTTTGATTCAAAAGTCACAAGTTTAACAAATTTGTCTTAGTTAGAAATCATCTACTTTCACCGTAAGCTCTCGGGACTTTATTTTAGGTTTTTTCCAAAAGACCTCGTGCTCCCTAAATTAGCCAATGTGGAACTCTCTGAGAGATTATTCATGACTTATTACACAAACCAAAATAATGGAAAATATGAAAGAAGACGATGATCCAAGGAGTATAGTGGAGATATGAAATGGGTATTATAATGAGTTTGATGGAAAAGTGAGGTTTTTAGTGGACAAATGACAAAAGGATTTGTGTGGGTTACTTTTCAAAAAAATGATGGAAGATTATGTGTTCCTTAGTGGGAGTGATCGTATTCATAGAATCATACAAATACACTTTGATTATGATATTGTGAAAGCAAGGGAATCCAGGAAACCCTAGTTTTATAGTACGGTTGAAGAGTAAAAGACAACACAGTTGGGTTTCTGTTTTTCTGGGTTATGTTTCACGACATGCAACAACTCCTTCCATGTCTTTGTTTTTGTTTCTTTTTGTTTGTTAAACAAATTTTTTTCTACTTCTACTCTTGTTTGCCTTAGCTTTGTCATTTTAGAGCTCCAACAATTCCTTTTCCACAAGAAATTATCAATACCCACAACTAAAAATTGAATCTTTTTGTAATGGGAGTGTTATTCCATGGCTGGAAATACTATATATGAAAGGTTGGATGATGAAAGTTCCACATCAACTGGCTAATTTAGGGAATAATCATGGGTTTATAAACAAAGAATACTCTCCCCATTGATATGAGGCCTTTTGGGAAATCTCAAAGCAATATCATACCATTGTGGAGAGTCGTATTCGTCTAACATTAAAGAAAAAATCCAGATGGTATTATCGAAGGGGACCAAACAAAATGAAGGATTATGTAATTTTAGAGCTTCTTTCCTTTCAATTTAGGACTACTTTAGATATTGGTTTGGCCTCAGAGGAATCATTCAACATGTCATATCTTAAAGCTCTAAGTTTGAGGTCCCAAAGAAAAAAAAGGGGTTTTAAGAGAGACTTAGAAAATACACTTTGTATTCCACCTGAACATCATCAAAGTCTAGGGATAAAGGTTGAATTAGCCTTGGAATTTTGTGCTTATTGGTCAAAGGAATTCATATTTAATTATGTTTTAACAATATGATTAGAACTGTGAATTGAAGAGAGATTAAGGAGAATAAAGATGTTTGACCACATTAAGAAGAATAAAGATGGAGATTTGGCTCCTTAATTTCGTATGCAAATTGCATATCCATTGCTTGCTATATCCACCACCCACTTACCAACCTTCACTACTTCCAACATTATTTGATAATATATCCAACAAAATCATATCAAGTTCAAAACATTTTACATCACAGTCAACATCAGGTGATAGATAATACTTGACTATATTAATATATTCAATGATTTGAGAGATTAAGGTTTGAGTATTGTTTGATAAGAACATAACCCATCTAATCAACTATTTCAATTCGTAAAGGTTTAGAGGAAAAGATATTTATTTGACCACGAAAATGTGTGAAACGAACCAACAATCGAAAACAAAAGAAAGTTTTTTTTTTTTTTTGTTCAATTATAACGTGAAAGTGGAAAATTTGAACCTTTGATGATCGAGAATGTATACCTTAGCCAGATTTAATATATATATATATATATATATATAAAAGCTGAAAAGATTAGGCCAGAGGTAGCAGCACTTGTGATTATGAAATGGGCAGAGAAAGAGAGTGCATGTGCAAAGCCTAAATAATTGAAGTTAACAGAAGATGATGGCACATAGCATCTTGTGTGTCAAAATCTTCCGAACAGAGGGATAGTGAAAGGAGGAGAAAGAGTGTAACCAACGCCAAATTTTACAACACTATGGGACCCCTTTTAGAACACCAAATTTTGAATGGTTACATCAGTAATGGGTTAAATTTTTGGGCTGCTAAGATGGAAAAACATGGTAATCCAACCAAAGTCAATTCTTTTTTTTGTGGTAAAAGTAAGAGTGACAGAAAAAGTGGTGTGTAAATGAGTGGTGGTGTTTGTGAAAGCAGCAGCAACATTCCCCCAAAGTTAATGCTCACAGTTGGGTATCATCTCTTACTCATCTTCACACTCCATTTTAAATCATACACTTCTCCGTTTCCTTTGGCTTTTATTGGTTCTGAAATGATTCTCTTTTTGCCAAAAGTAAAGCTGTTATTTATTCTGATCCATGTAAATTGGTGTTGCATTGTTCATGTGTTCATCAAGCTGTAAATACATTTCTTTGCTAACTGTATCAGAATAACTTGCGTTCTTTCTATTCAACATTTTGACGTCTACATCTTGGCGCGGACTTGTGCTATGAGCTCCCTTCTCAGAAGCTTTCCCGAAGCCGACTTCGGAATGCTACTCGTGAAGGTTACTGTTTTTAATCTCTTGAATGGTGCAACCTGCAAAGGGAAAGAGCTGATCATTTTCAAGAATTCCTTTGTCAAAATGATGGTTCCCACTTTTTGCGTAGGGAATCAATGTTTAAGTTTGCATTTTTCCACATCTTTTGCCTTCTTGGGTTCATGCAGCAGGCCCATAAAAGGCGGCCTCTTAGTAAAGGCTTGCTGCTGCCTCTAAGTAACACCTACCTAAAGGTTAGCATGTTTGAACTTTCAAGGGAGCTTAATAAGAAAAGGCACCGCGAACGCAATTCGTGGGTGGGGCTATGTCATCACTAGTAGATATCGTTCTCTTTAGGCTTTCCCTCAAGGTTTTTAAAACACGTTTACTAGAGAGAAATTTCCACACCCTTATAAAGAATGCTTCGTTCTCCTCTCCAACCGACAAAAAGTCTCTTTATGGTTCTTGTTTGAGGGTTTGCAAAATATTACCTGACCCGCGATAAAACTTTTAACATCTTCTTCATTTATTGAGCTACTAGGTGAACGAACAACAAATGCAATAGGGACCTCACCGGCTTTATCATCAGGATATCTGCAGGTGGAAATTCATGGCAGAGGTTAACAAGAAAGTATGAAATAGAAAGGAAAATCCACTATGAACGTCCACATAACGATGGCACTATAGATGCTACTGTATACAACTTACGGGATCACAATGGCATCTATTATTTGAGGATGGGAAAGTAGCAGTGCTTCAAGCTCCGCTGGTGCAACCTAATATGCAGACAAGAAAGTTACAAAAAAATTGATATCAATCAACAACGAATGCAGCTAGAGTTGATACTTCCCAGCAGAGGAGACAATGCAGACATAGCATTAGAAGACATACTTGCTGGAGCCAAGCATATGATTAGTACATCTTATAATCATATTCTTTTAACTGAGAAGAACTTAGCATAGCAGTTTCTTTTGATTTAAGGGAAGTTAACTTCTGATATAATGGTTTGTGAGATTCCACGTCGATTGGAGAAGAGAATGAAGCATTCTTTATAAATAAGGGTATAGAAACCTCTCCTTAGCAAACACGTTTTAAAAGAAAGACCTAAAGAAGACATATCTGCTAGTGATGAGTTTGGACCGGTAAAAGTCATAGTAAAAGGAAATGAAGCACTCCCAAATGGAAAAGCTGATGTTTGTTGATGTATAAAAAAGAACCTGAAAACCATAACACTTGATGAGTTCTTTGATTCTGTCCACAACAAACAATTCTCCTTCTTCATTAAAATATCCGATATCTCCAGTATGAACCCATCCTTGATCGTCTATGGTTTGGCTGGTGGCTTTCTGATTGTTGAAATATCCTGAAATGTTCAAGCAAACATTTTGCCAATCAGATTGGGACATGAAAATGGAAAAGCTTGAAATGGGTCCGAACTTGATTAAACTGACAACAAATCATCAAAGAAACGAGATTGGCATCTTTAAAGCAGGGAGAAATTTCAATTCTTTTAGCAGATCCAATCAAACAAGTTCAAGAAAGTAACCTAATGGAATGAAGATCTAGTAAATATTGTCTGTTATGGCTCCGTTTTCACACTCTTATGAAGTATGTTTCGTTCTCCTCCCCATGATGTAGGATCTCACAAATTTACTCTTAGAAAAGGGACAAAAGTAGACAATATTTGTTAGCTGTGAGCGTGGGTTTGAGCTGTTACAAATGGTATTAGAGTCAGACACCGAGTGATGTGCCAGCAAGAAGATTGAGCGATATGCCAACAAGGACACTGGGCCCGAAGGGGGTGGATCATGAGATCCCAAATTAGTTGGGGGAGAATGAAGCATTCTTTATAAAGGTGTGGAAACCTCTCCCTAGCATACGCATTTTAAAACCGTGAGACTGGTGACGATACGTATCATGTACGGGCCAAAACGGACAATATTTGCTAGCGATGAACTTGGACGGTTACCGAAGAGAGGGATTGGACGAAGGTATAACCCTGGTTTGCTGTTTGATACACCCTTCAGTATAGTTAGTATGGATGAGCACTGTTCATCAGATCAAAACTATGTTCAAATCATTTCAAGAATATCCAAAGAGAGATCCACCTTTCATCATATTTGGTCCTCGCACGCATATCTCCCCTGTTTCACCGGGTGGAAGACGTTTCTGCGTTTCTGTACTCAAAATTTGGGCCTCAATTCCTGAAACAAGGAATCCAGTTGACCCTGATAGTCTAGATTCGACCCCTAAATTCTCCATTGAAATAACTCCACAAGTTTCTGTCATACCATACCCCTGTACACCATAGATTGCTACCCAAATCAACACAACATCATATAACATTTCCTGTAACAGCCAAATGAGAGTGCAAAATGGAGGAGTTGATAAGGAAGTGTTCAAAACCTGCGTGATCTTGGTCTGAGGTAAAACCTTAGAACATTCTTCCATCACATCCTTCCCAAGAGGCGCCGCCCCAGATAAAATCTGCTTCAACGACGACAAGTCATACCTCTTCACCACACTTTGCTTCGCCATGGCTATAATTACAGGCGGAACAAGATAAAGATGAGTGATTCTATACTTCATCACCACCCCCAAAGCCTTTTCCAGCTCAAACTTCGCCATTGAAACGACGGTGTTTCCTCTTTGAAGCTGCGAGTAAAGAATTACAGAGAGACCAAATACATGGAACATTGGGAGGAAGCATAAGAACACGTTTCTAGGATCACCAAGAAGGTCCTGATCATGGGTCACCATTAACGACGTCGTTATGAAGTTTCTATGAGTCAGAATCACTCCCTTGTTAATCCCCGTCGTCCCAGATGAATACAATAGTGCCGCCACATCGCTCTGCCCCACTTCACTCACAGGCAAATCGGACACGTCGCCGGAGTTTTTAATCAAATCGGAGTAAACCCAGATATTGGGGCGGGAGGATTTCGAAGAAATTTTAGAACCCAGGATTATAGAAGGCAAGTTGAGTTTACCGATTACGTCCCAGAGTTCTGGAATGGTGATTACGAGCTTGGGGTTGCAGCTCGCGACTTGCTTTGATATTTCCGCGAAGGTGTAAGCAGGGTTACAAGTGGTGGCGATGGCTCCAATGGCAACAATGGCGAAGAAACAAACAGGGAAATGGATGGAATTAGGCGCGAATATGAGAACCACATCGCCTTTCCGAATCCCGAGGTGGATAAACGCATGGGCCAACTTGGAGACTTGGATTTGAAGCTGACGGAAAGTTAGGGATTCGCCGGAATCCGCGTCGGCGAGAGCGAGGCTGTGAAGGAAAGAGGAGGAGTTTCGAAAGAGAAACGAAAGAATGGAGATAGTGGGGTCGGTCGGAAAGTGGATTGGGGGGCGTGGGGAAGTGTAAATCTGGGATTGGGGATTGAAAGATTTGGCCATCGCGATCGCCATAGCCAAAATGGGGTTGAAGAAAAACGATGGATTTCGAATCGGGATGGTTTGATCGTTTGTTTAGAGGTAGCTTGAGTTTTGACTTTTCCGGTGAAGACGAACAGATGAGAAGATAATGTTGAAATTGACAGAATTGATTACTAAATGAAATGGGTAGAGTTTCTCCCCAACACGGCTCGATTCAAACTTATATGGAAAATTCGTATGCTACGATGAACCCAGATTTGATATCATAAACAGAGACTTAATATCATGAACAGAGACTTGATATCATGAACATACTCATTAACGATGATAATTTGCTAATTTTATGCCTTCATAAGTTAATTTCATGGCATTTCAATGAATATTAGACCTTTATTTCCATCTTAGATTTGGAATATTTACTCAACGAATTCTTGAACTTCCTGACAGAAAATTGAATATTCATAATTGATAAATGTTGAGTCTTCTTCCTTGAAATAATGCTAATTAATGGCACCGTTGCTTTGTCTTCACCATCAAAAAAAACATTTATTATATTTTATACATGATGTGATCTATGTATATCCGCTTAAACTCTCTAATATTATGTATGGTCTATTGGATAGAGGTGAGTAATGTGAGGTGAGTAATATTTCGTTCTCCTTCCAACGGAGAAGTTTCCACACTATTTGATCGATTGATAGATGGTTTCTCTCTCAATCCATGTGGATCTCACACTTGGAGAGAGTAATCTCTCCCTAATAGAACAGAAACATTTTAAAAAAAAACCTTAAAGGTAAACCTAAAGAAAACAATATCCGGTAGTGGTAGGTTTGTGCCATTAAACTGAATGATCCACATATTGTGAAAAAAATTATGATGATATAATATTTACAAAATGAAAACATGATATAATATTTATTAGATAACTAATACAACATATGAAAAAAAAATAACTTTTTGAAAAAAAAAATAAATAAAAAAATCCCTTTTTTGGTAAGAATCTTAAATTAAATTCAATGTTTCAGGGTATTTTTTTTTTTTTTTTAAATGGATAGGAATTAGGATTCACAAAATTGCAAAACAATCCGGTAGGAAAAAGGACTCAGTTTTACTTCGATCCAAGCGTTTCACCATGCGCTACGTGTGCTTTGTGGCCTCCAACCCTTCGCCTTTCCTTCTCATTTCGGTCGGTCGCCATTCAGATTCTTCCATTCCATTTCATTCTTCTCTACGCCAATCCCATTGCTGAATCTGCTAATCATGCTCTCATCCATGGTGGATCCTTCTCTTTCCTTGTGTTTCTCTTCCCTCTCCTCCCCTTTCTGCATTTCCCGCTCCCTCCACCTTTCTTCTCCTAGATTCTCCCTCTCTCATCATCGCCCTTCTCGTCTTCTTCGTTTCTCCATCAAATCCTCCGCCTCTGGAAGCTTCATGGGCGACGACTCCTTCGGATTGTTTCCTTGGACTGATGGTGATACCGGTATGTGGCTTCTCCATCCTTGTTTCTTTTCGCGTTTCTTATTAAATCTGCTGCTGATGCCGAAGGATCGATGTGTATGACATTTTCCCCAATTCTAATTACCTAATTTGATGAGATTTCGTTTGATTGCGAAAAGGGGTTTCCCCCCTTTTCATTTGATTGAGCAAGGAGAGGGTTATTTTTTCTTCTTCTGTTGTTACGTTAGGTTTGATCATTCTTATCGAAGTGCATTGGGTGGGTGGTTTTCAGACATCGAGTGATGGGAATGAAATATTTGAGTTCTGTTTATTTATGAAGCCATCTAAATCTAGAATTAGGGGTTGCTCAAAATTGAAATTTTGCACAGAAATTCATTGGGTTCCGGAGGAGAGAGTCACATTGTTCACTCCTGATGGACTTGTTCAGATTGGAGGCTCCATAGTCCCTCGACGGATTTCTTCTTCAGATGTATGCCCTTCACACATACAAGCTCATTGATGCTTCACGTCTTTTTGCAGTTCTGGTCAAAACTTGCGATTACAGTGTTCTATATTGTTAATTACTTTAGCGCCTAGAAACTTGATTCAGTTGATGCAATCTGGTTCGGATCTGGATTAAAAGGATGTTCATTTGACAGAAAAAACAAGGGAAGTCAAAGGCTTACCAACGCTTCCAACGGTTTCAAGAGAGTGATTACATGGATCCAAAACAGAGCATATGTCTTGGTGCCCTATTTGATATTGCAGCCACCAATGTGAGCCTTTTGGGCAGAGCATATGT